CCAACGTGATACTTGCATTAACTGAAGAATCCAAGTTCGAAGTGTGTGTTTGCGTTTTCGTCTCCAAGAAAATGGTTGAACCATGTTGAACCAAAGCTTCCAATGCCATCACACATCATCTGTCCGAGGGAAGAAGTACTTGACAAGTCTTCTTCGAGTGTATCATCCCAAACCCATCGGCGAAATTTGGGAACTGGATCCCCTCGAGAGCGCCCTCCCTACAACCGCCGAATTCTGCTTCACTGACCTCCTGGCTACTCTGCAAACTTCACAGGGGTAGCTCTGTAGCACCCTCACGCGGGCACCACAATTCGGGCACCTCTTGGGCCTCACCCCACTTCGCTGGCTCCTTCGTGGGACTTCGAGCCGGTCCGTAAGGGTTGGCACTCAAAGACATGTGACAATGACATGCACTTAGTGCAAGAAATCGAAAGATCATACATCAGATTGCATGACTCAAAGGAACAAAGTCGAGATCAAGTCTCATCCCAAGTCTAAGAACAACGTGAAGAATTCCATCCAGTGGGTCTGTATTGACACCCACAACTTGGGTAGTAAAACCCAAGAACACATTGAGCTGAGAAACCCATGGTTCCTCGGTCATCATCAAATGGCTCGGAATCCTTCTTTCGGGAGTGGCTGCAAACTCCCAACCCTCAACATCGATCAACCAAATTCAGGGTCTCGCTCCCCATCTCGGAGCAAAAGTACTGGCCATGCGGCCCGTGCGGTTTCGTGGTAGTTTCGTGTGGCCTTCGTTTCAAGGGAACGAGCTGGCAGGTTCCCACCACAGCTCCCCGAAAGCGGAGACATGATTGAAATACGTCGAAGGGAATTCACCCATTTTAAGGAACCTCAATGCTTCACCCTTCAGCCAAAACCAGGAAAATCCGTTTGCCCACCGAAAAACCGCCCCGTCTGACCCGTCTGACTCGAACTGTCGGGGATCAGCACGACTGTGGAAGAATCAAACCCCGAAATTCGACGGTCGTTCCTGGGTTGAAATCATCTCATAGTCTTTTGTCTGATGCTGGCGACTTTTTCAAGCGTTTAGACCCAAAGCACTCCATCGGGCTGGCATATTGACCGCCCCATTCACCCCCCCCTTTTCAAGCACCCCTGGCCCTCATCAGTCCCAGACGGGTAACTACAAGGACCTGAAAAGTTCGTGACCTCTTTGGAGTCTCTGTTTGTGACCTCTTTGGAGTCTCTGTTTGTGACCTCATTTCTGGTATATCTCACCCATTTCACACATTCAGAGGCACTCTTCTGCCTTTTTAGTAGGGTACGTGTTCTTTGATTCTACCCCCCAAGGCCCTTGTCTGCTATCCCTCTCCCATCCCATTTCCCAATCCAGCGGCCCTCGGCCCGCTCGTAGTAACAAGTGCATCGCTGCTAGTAACAAGTGGTAACCCATGAATGCACTTGTTACTATCTAGTAGCGATACACATATCTTGCGATGCACTTGTTACGAACCTATTCCGCTTCCCCCCCCATCTCCTCCGTCGCCCATCAAGCGCTCTCGGGCGAGCCCGCCAACTCCTTGGGCGACTCAGCGAACTCCACCGCGCGCACCGCGACAGCGCGCGGTGCTCGGGGCACGCCGTTGCACCCGTACCTGGCCACCGGGGCCGGTGTCCGGAAGCGGAATCAGTGCATTCTGACTTAGGAAGTGTACCTGTATAAAATATTATGTTATATATAACTATATATATATATATAGTATGTATATATGGTGATCTGTTTGGCAACTGTTTGTTTGTTGCGATGTGCGTGTGTTTCAAGTTGCTTCATTTGGAGATGTGTTCTTTCATGTTCTTTCCGGCTACGTGGGGAACGTTCTTTGCGGCCGTGGTTTCCCCCAAAAAAAATCCTGTGGAAGTAAATAAGACAAGTCATGGGGGCCAGCCCGTGGCGCCACCACCGAAGAAAACCAAACGAATCTCATCTCAGAAACGACCCAAAGCGGTGGTTGAGTCCCAAAGTTCAAAGAACGTAGTTGCTACTTCAAGCAGAAAGTGCCTGGAGACATGGTCTGGCTACTTCACAGTGTAGTAGCGTAGCATACAATGACCCTGTACAATCATGTGCAAGGACCCTTCACAAGATTGCATCACAGGTGCCCTGTGAGCAGTATACAACTTGGACTCTGGACTATAATATCTCCGCGGACCATTACACAACTGCCGATTTCTCACATGTTTAAAGCGACACCCAGCTTGAAAGGGTTCAACATAGTCCTGGCTCAGGCCAAACATCTTGACAATGAGATTCGCAGGTCCAAACCCCTCGTTCGCGGGTCCTGGCTCATCTCCTTAAGGAGACTTCCACCGTCTGCTTCCGTGGCTCCTCTTCCCCCAGTCCATATGGCTGGTCCAGACCTTGCTTGACCTACCAACGGGCGCCAATCCGGGCGCATGGTAAGTAGCTGTGCTGGGTACCGGGGATCTTGGTAAGTGTCCACTGTCCAAGAACTGAATATGTACCTACCTCTTCCAGGTCGTTCGCTACATGGTCGGGCTCCAGGTTTTGAACCACGCCGTCCAAATATCCGATCTCGCCAGGCCGACGGAGAGCAAAGGATCTGCTGATAGTTCTCCACACAGGTGAGATCGAAGGGGTTCCTCCCACGCCGTCCGACAGGGGGTGGACCCGACAGCAGGCTGGATGGCGCCATCCTTGGAAGCGAACAAGCCTGCCATGTCAAAGCCTTTTTGGGGGCGAAAAAATGGCGAAAGGCCATGGTCCGAGTCATCGGGTATCCAACATGAATCCGTGGAATTGTCCCTCAGGGTCTTCAGATGGTCTCCCTCCACGCCTATCGATGCTGGCTTCCTCTCTTGTGATCATTTCAATGGACATAGGCTCCCTCCCTCCAGCCACCTCTCCTGTCCAAATGTAGGTAGTAGTCCCGGACCTCGCGACTCGCTGCGGCCGGGACTCGATGAACAGCGAAGGCTGAACTGACGAGGACGGGCAAGGACCGAAGATTTGGCGTCAAGATTGGAAGGCCGATGGGGTTTAACCACCTGGATGACTGACAAAGAAAACATATGAGGGTTCCATGGGTCAACCGGTCCGCGCATACCCCCAAACTTAGCTAGCAACCAAGAAGGATGCAGCTATGGCCAATGCCGTGCCTTCTGTCTCCTTTTTCATACTCTGTCGCCATGAAAGCCCTCTCAAGTCTCACCTCTCTGGCTCCCGTCAATTTCACCCGGTGGATCCCACTCTAGCTGTGAAGAGTTCCCTGAGATTTGATGTTGATGGCACTTGACAAAAATACAGTTCTCCACATGTTTTGAAGCCGATCAATTAAACCGATTGACCATGGATTTGCGACCAGGCAAAATAATCTGAGAGCAGCACATGTTCATTGGTGGTCAGATTGCAGGCGATGATGATGCTGTGGTACCTGAAGTTCATGTGAAGTGGAAAACAAAGAGTGACCGGGGTCATAGGCAGGTCCATCCACAGAGGGATCAATACTCCGTCTTCAATTTTCAGTAGATGTGTGCCATCTAAAACCGCTGTATTGTTGATCTCTCCCATAAACTGACTGGTGCTTAGTAGGGAATAAGGGAATGAGCCCCCAATAGAGATTCTATTGGATTCATTCCCTCATTCCCTGCTAAGCACCAGTCAGTAAACAAACCATCGACAGAAACCTGTGAGGTCCGCAAAATGCTGAGGGACTGTCGGTCGTCTGCGACGTCCAAGCTACGTGCATTCGGACTGATCAAGCAGTTCCAAGAAAAATTGCCGCAGTTGTTTCGAAAAGAACCATGATGAAGGCTTCAGGGTAGAAACGCTGAAGAGCAAAATACACCAATGCCGGCCTCCCGCCTAAGTTCTGCCTGGAGCATCCTGTTTTCGCATGTTTTGCCTACTGAGAAGATCCTAGACCGTCTTCGGAGGTTGCGGCACTGAACCCAAAGCGGGGAGGAATGAAAAAGCAGGTGCAACATCCATGGTGCAACATGGTGCAATTCCATCCATGTCCATCTGAAGGCATCCCCAAAAAACAAACCAGTGCAACATCTTGGTTCCTATGTTCAGATCACCCGGCGTGATGGCGTTTCAATGACCTGGGTCTCGTTCTTCGCTGGGTATATCCCAATACTCAGGGCCCAGTGAATGATGATTAGCAAAGGCCGACATCTCAAAATAAACAATAGTGATATATAATATATATATATATATAATCTTATACATGTTTTTACCGACTGGTACTGGTCACGGGATACACCCTAGTCCTTCGTGGTATCAGTATATAATATATTCATCAATGACCGTACGCACCAGGAATCTTACGGGACATCTTGGGAAAGTCATGCCCTAGCACTCCAAGTACCTCCTCAGAAGGCAATTGGACCCTCCAAACCCACCCCAAACACCTTCTCAAAAGGCTCTTGGAGCCCTAGGGCCGCATGATCCTCTTGGGCTGCTTCCCTCTTGCGTCCTTCCCCTATTCACAATCCCTGCAACTATCGATGCGATCACCACTCCAAACCCCGCCCCAGCCCGCTCGCGTGGCACAAGAGTAGGATGCCAAAGGCCAAAAACATCGCAATGGCGTAAAAGAAGTAGAGCAACTGCCACGCGACGGGCGACGGCTCCGCGCGCCGCGCGACACCGCCACGCGGGTTTCACAACTTCGCCTCACCCGTCCACCCAGAGTGTCCCGTCGCTGTCCGAACAACGGCGATGGATGAGGAAGAGCCCGTCATCTGCAGAGTTCGGATGGGTGATGGGTTGGGCCCCCAGGAGCCCCGAAGGAGTTTGAGGGACCTGTGGAGATTCAATTGATTGTTATAAAATATATATATATAGTTAATGGATATATTATATATCTATGGTTATATATATATATATATGTGTGTGTTATGAATCTCTGGCCTTGCATGATCAAGAACAAGGGTCGACCTTGTTCATCACAAAATTGAGTGGATAGTGTTCGTTGAAGACGATTGAATCAATGGCTGGAATTCAATGGACATACCCCAAGCATCCTGGTCCAGCTTGCTCGAGTCTCAGCAAAGTATTGCCCAACACTTGTCTCAATGCTGAAGCACATTCGGGTGAGATATTCAATATGGCCCCAACCAAATGGGTTTTGGTATGTTTTGCTCTATTTCCCTTCTTCCAGGGTGTCTTTGAGAGGTCTCCCTATTTTAATACACCGATTCTGAGAAGGAAGAATCAGCAAAAATCAAAGGCGCTCCTCTTCGAAGTGAACCCTGAATCTCTTCCAAAACATGCGCCTCTCCCCCATGGGCCATCAGGAATGGTCGTAGTGCCTCAGGAATGCAACGAATGAGTCGAAGGTGGGCGACATCCTGTGGAAGCAGAACCGCAAGTATGCAGCAAGTACTCAGGGAAAACAAAAGAAGTACTCCTCGCTAGCAGCCTTGCAGGGCCTTGATACACAAACTAATGTATACTAAGGAAACTGTCGATAAACCACTTTTCGCACGAATCTTTTTGCCTGTAGTTCACTTATATTCCTAGCTGCAGTCACCGGACAGAAGTCACCAGGGCATCTCCTTTGCATCAGTCGCCTACGAGTATGGCACTGGAGGAGTCTGGAGGACTGATCAGGTCAGAACGCAGGACTCGGTCAGGTCTGTGACTCGATGCTTCTGACCAAGGTGACGATTAATGGCGGTTCATGTTCAGGTGGGCATATAAAGGCAAAAATATGTATATATATATAGACGTGTGTTGTATACTTATATTTCTATGTATAGTCTATAGAAATATACTATATATAGGCACATGTTACCGCTGTTTTGATGGACAATGACCATATCTTGGGTGGTTGGTGGTCGAAAATAGAGGTCACTCAGGTTCTAGGTGTTCGACATAAACACAAATACATATTTTTTGAGGGATGCTCGTGTGCAGGGCTGCTGCTTTCTTCTGGGTCTAAGATTCTGGTGCGGAGGTTCCTAGGTCCCATGCTCGCTTCAAGCACACCACTTGTTAGATGGGTTTGTCCACCGCTTCAACCACCAATGGAAAGGTTTGAATCCCAACCCTTCATTGTTGAACGTTGGCCTGGGATATTTTTGAGCTACAGAACCAGATCAACTTTCCTCTTGTAAGGCCAGGTGTTTCTAAGGATTGGCCGCGCAAACAAGGAATGCTGCTCACAGGATGGTTTTATCTATGGTGCTGCCCCACGTCTTGACGTCTTAGATCACAACGCTTCCAACCTAATTATACGTTTGTGTCTGTAGAATTATGTGTCTATATCATGTACGGTCGGGGACTGCGCTAAGAAGTTTTATAGAACAAGGAATTAGACTCTAGTTGTGAGGAAGAATACGTTATTTTAGATTATAAATCTTAATAGACAGTATACACTAAACTACTACCAAACTGCTTGAAAACAGCTTTGCAATAGGCACGGGCCCTTTCCCAGCATCATCACCAGCCAGACCGCCCTGGGGCCTCATGCTCAGCTCACTAGAACAAAAAGTAATGAAAAATGCGCCAGGGGGCTTAGCTGCTGGTGTGGTTGGTTCTGTGCCTGCCCCTTTGGGCTGAGTGCGACCAAGGATTTAGTTGCTGTGGTTGGCTTGGGCCTGCATCTTTGAGCCGGGCGCGACCAGGGATTTACTTGCTGTGGTTGGTTCTGGGCCTGCCTCTTTGGGCTGGTTGCGACCAAGGATTTAGAATTTAGTTGCTGTGGTTGGCTCTGGGCCTGCCAATGCCAAACAAATAAGCGCCGGCACGCTATAGAACTTACAGCCCGCAAGGGCGCGCGACCATATATGTTTGAATGAAAAGAAGCAACCTTTGGGTAGTCTGCTGTAAGCGCATCTCCGGCTCTTGCAGGGCAGAATCTCCAACTGCGAACAACTGCAACTTCCACCCAGCCCCCCCACGTCTGCTGCGACATGAAGCGTTCTAGTGGTTGTGCGTTTCTGCTATGGAAAACGGGCTCCATAAAGGGTTTGAAACTGTTTGAAAACAGGTTTAAAATAGAGCGAAGACCCCTCATTCAGAGTATTGCCCTCTCCTGAACAAACCCTAGATTAAGAAACCCAACGTCAGATTCTGAGCATCAAATTTCTTGTTCAAACACTTGGGATCAATAAATATGCTAGACTCTATCGACAAAATAGGGATTTCTTATCACAAGCCTCAACCGTACACAGCTATATGTGAAGTGATGTGCATCAAACATCGTCTCCAGCCAATGTTTCAGGCTCTGGGTTCCCCGTGCCAGCTTTGGATCAGCCTTGATCGACCGGAACGACGGAGCAGCGCCATGAAAGCGGCCATCTCTCAGTGGAGCAGCTCTTGGACAGACTCCTGGTATATAAATTCAAGAGATATATGACTACCAGGCCCACTAAGGGGTGGTTAATGGACACCCCTTAACATCTAAGGGGCTATCAATAGAAACCCCTTGGGGGGTCCTGGTATATACCAGGAATGATTATTCCTGGTATATTTTATATAACTATATATATATAATACTGAGCATTATAGATGAGAACACAGTCAAATCTGGAACATGGTTAAAAAAAAATGTGAATTACTGCTTACAGTATCCTTGATTGTTCTTAATCGAAAGACATACTAACCTGGACCATCCTGTCTGGGTGTCCTGTCTGGATTTCCCTACACTATTTAGGGATCTACTGCCACGACACGCATTGCATGGTCCATTCAATATATGACAAAAACACACTCAAATCATACACACATGAATCATGACGATTGGGGGGATCCTGGGGATCTGGGGGGATCATGGGGATCTGCCTCTTCAGCATACCGGCATGACAAGGACGAGGTCTCTTGCTGGTGGGCTCGGGCCCCAGGAGATCTGCAGTACGAGCTTTGTTGGCATGAAATTTAGTGACGTCCCAACCCGCGGGGAGCATTGGACCGAACAGGAACTGGGCTACTTGCTAACTATGGTCGTACGAACAACTTGTTATATACAAATACATGTACTCCCCTGGTACCTGATATAAATATAAATAATATAAATATTATGTTGGCGAGAAATGGAAGTAATTTGCACAACTACCACAGGGGTAGGTACCACACATATGCAAATCACAGAATATGTTCAACAATTTTCAGCATCATTTTCAGAATCAAATCGTCTTGGATCATGCCTCTGCATCAAATCAATAACCACAATCGAAAGCATTGTTCATACAGGGTCCGTGTGAGTTTCTAGGCGTGTATTCTGTGTAGCCTTTGTCTCTTCACTACTGGCAGCCATACTGGACCCTGGTGGGTTCCCTATTGAATGGACATCAAAGGCGTTGTTGGTTGGTGTTTCCCGAGCTCCTCGCAGTCGTGTGCCGTGTGCCCACAACCCATGGTCAAATAATTTGTAGGGATTTCTGTGTCAAACAACTGGTCCACTTGCTAAGTGTGGTGCTACCACTTAGTACATATAAGTCGATTGATGTATACGGAACGCATGGAGCAAGGTAGCAATGGCTCAAGGCTAGCCAAGGACTCAGTAAAATGAGCCTATGCATGGAAGACTCTGCAAGACTTGGCCTCCATGTTCCATTCAATATATAATAAGCCAGTTTTGGGCCATTCATTTCCATGATCCTCACCCGCCGTCCTTATAATACCTATAAACATCCTAGACTCACTACCTGCAACATCCCTCCACATGAACTCAGCAGTTCTTTCTACGTCGTGCAGGTGAGAAAAACGCACGGCTGATGCACAGCCGAGGTAAGGTTTAGGGGCACATGCTGCACAAGTATGCATCAAACTTTGGAGTGCTGCTCTCGGATGCCAAGGCTGCCAAGGCATCCATCCGAAAAGCATTCGGCTGGACAAAATCTAAAGCAAACACCGTTCAGTGCAGAAAGCATTCTCCTCATAAGAACACCATCTGATTTGAGGAAACATCACGCTATCCTTCGATCAAGCAATGATTCAGAAAAGCATTCAACTGCTTCAGTCAAGCAGTTCAGGACACATCCCCCCCCATGAGAATGTTCTCCTTCGATTGTGCTAAACACAACCAGGTCAAACCCACACAAACTCCACACTATCCTCATCCGTTGCCATATCAATCTCATCCACCTTCTTCTTGGCCAAACAGCTCCGTTGTGGCACTGGTGCTTCGGAACTACTGGCCGCGGAGGCCGTGCTGCGTAGAGAGAAAAAGCTCCTCAAACCGCTCAAGGCACTTCCAGCGCTTCTAGAGGTCTGGGAACGCTCCGTGGCACCTGCAAGCGTTGGGTAAACGTTTGGGCTTCTGAAATGCACTGCAGAATGCATCTGGGCCCCTATTATTTTTCATAGCCCGGTCTGTGCCAGTTCCGAAGTGGACTTCGTGACTTGGTGACTTCGGTCAAACGAATCAAAGCAACAATTGAACCAATCAACGTCAAACTGTGCCCCTGCACAATGCAAAAAACACACATGAACTGCCGGCACAGTCCATGAACTGCCCATGGGGGGCCCGGTCACCCGAAAAGGCCCGGTCGCCCGAAAAGGACCGGTCAGAATCTGAGAGCCAGGCCGGCCTGGTCGCAGTTGCTTAAAGGGATCTATAATCTATATAGGGATCTATTAGCGCATTTGCTTAATATGAAGGTTCAGGCCTACGAAACCCAAACAACCCGAAATGAATGGATGTTTCCACAAACAACCACTTGCTGTGTAAAGGATCTCAATTGCCATATTGAAACATCCACTTGTTTCTGGTTGTTTGGGGTTCCAGGTAGGGAGTCTGTTACTTTCTTCGCTATTCAGCTACCTCTCTGATTTTCACATGTCTTCACCTACCATTGCTCGGCAGATTGCTCGGCAGGGTACGTAGAAATGATGAGTTCGGACCCACACGTGCACCGATACTCTGCTTATTCAACCCATTGGAACACCGGTTTAGGATTCACGACCCGACAACCACCCAGGAACAAGTGGGTTATCGTCGAAATCTTCTGAACCAAATAAACGCCTTATGTGGTCATTGGATCATATCGACCAACATGGGCACCATGCAATGTACCTGTTCGATTGGCTTGAATCTTGACGGGTGCCAAGTAGAAAACATGGAGATCCATGGTGGAGAGTTAAGTTAAATGGAGGCGGAAAACTATGTCAGTAAGAGAAACTCTTTCAACGGGTTGTTTTCAGGTCCTGGTGCTTCTTTAAAATTGGCTTTGGATGCTGGCCTGACATCTTCAACAAGCTCATCATCCTCTCATCACCTAGTTCTTCGGCAACATCCAAAGGATATAGCTGTTTCACACGAACATGCTGAAAGACATCACTGGTATCGCGCAAGCTATTCACCCCCGGAAAGGCGTGGCGCTCCAGGAATGCATTCACCTCCTCTTTCCTTTTCGCCACTGCTTTGGGCGTCTCCACATCGAAGTTCGAATAGCTCATCGGCATGACAAGGACAAGGTCTCTTGCTGGTGGGGTGCAATACATGCTCGAGCCCCAGGAGATCTGCAGTACAAGCTGTGTTGGCATTCATGGTGACGTCCAAATGCGGGGAATACTGGACCGAACAGGAACCGGGTTACTTGCTCACTATGGCCAAACACAACCAATGGGACTGGCATAGTTTACATTGAGCCGCTCGAGCCTTGAAACCACCCCAATGTAGGTAATTAGATGTAATTAGGTTCTGCCAGTCCCCTGTGTCATGTCTGGGAAAAAAAAAAAGATAAACCCCCGTGATCGGAACTCCCACTGCAACGCAACCAACCCTGAAACCCTCCCCCTCGGCATTCTGCCAGCAGGTCCAGTGCCCACGTCCGTGCGGTCCCACCGTGGGGTTCCAACGACACCCACTGGAAGGACGATCCTCCAGCAGTGGCACAACGGAATGCTTCATCGGCGGAAGTTCGGGGAAGTGCCCAGCTCACGAGCCCGTCGGATGGGACGACGAGCCACACCACCCCGTCGAACGTGACTGGATGACCAACTCATTCTACTTGCACTCCTTCATGGAGGATGCGAATTGGGGATCTCTATTTTTGGGGCGCTCGGCGCTTGGCCACCAAAGAGGGAAGCACCCCTTTCGTTGGCGTGAAACAGAAGGCGTGAAACCGCCCAGCACCAAGCCTCGAAGAAGAGTCGCCATAAGACCTGATGCGTTTCTGTGAGTCGCGAGATCCAATGCGTTTCTGGGTACCGTCAAGGATTCCAGTTCTGTTCTCAAACTCAAAGAACAACAGTAGTTTCTTGGGCTATTTGTTGGAAAGATCTTAGCTGAGGCACTTCTGCCTACAGTACTGGACCTCTGAACATTCCTCCAATATATATATTATATATATATATATATCCTTTAATACATTATATATATAACTGTATATATATATATATGCTTCAGTTCCACAGGGCTCAGGGCCCCGGCTGGGATTCCGTTTGATTGGCCAGCCCGAGGAGTTGGCCACTCACCAAGACAACTATCCCTATCCAACAACTCTCCTGCAAGTTCCAACTCCGACTCCTGCAAGTTCCATTGCGAATCCGTTCTGTTGGACGGCAAATGGGTTGCAGTCACACACCCGTTAGCCTTTAGCCCCTCCCGACAACAGAGCCAATGGCGTGACTCGACTCATACTCATGACATCTCATAATCCAAGAGCCTGGTTTCAGCACCCAGCATAATGAAACATGTTTCTCCCTGTCACACTCATGGGGTGGGAAAGCGGTTTGTGAGTGTGTTTGTCTGATCGTCTGGTGGTCAGAGCTACAAGGCTTAAGCCCAAGCTCTGGATGTCGGCCTTCCAGTTTAAGTGGTCATAACCCTTGCCATGGCCTTCTCTCCTCATCTGTTAGGAAAAGAACAACACTCTTTCCAGCACTACCCAGTTTGGGTGTATAGACCCCTCTTGGCCGACTTATGTGTTCTTCGTCCCCCCCGAAATCATCCCAAAAACCAGCCACGACTTCCGGCCACTCCCGCTCGAACCCATCCGTCGCTCGAACCCGCCCATGCCTTGCAGGTGATGGTCGCGGAGTGCCCGAAGAACAACGCGGCCGCCTGCAAACGCGGACGCGGACGCGGCCAACTCGCGGCGCGAAGGAGTTCGCGGGAAACCGCCGCGGAACCGCCCGTGGTTGGGGTGGACGAAGCTCGCAGCGCTTCGGAAAGGTCGTCATTCGGTCGTCCAGATCAGTCATGCCTGGGAGTACTTTCACCTCCTCGGATCCAAGGTGGTCCGGTGTTGTCTCACCCCTTCGGGTGAGTTTCAATGTGTTTCAACACAAGGACTTGGGACCCCTGGTCGGAGCTTGATGAGGAAACATTGACTTGAGTATTGTATATGCATACGCATGTTCCATCAATCATGTGTCTTTGATTTCTTGGTGAAACGTCCTATAGTAGGCAGATGCCAACTGTGAACATGCTCACTTCATCTCACTTCTATGCTCCAAAGACTCCAAGGCACTCTCCAAGGCCTCTTTTCAAAAAAAACACTTGATGAACATGTTTACAGTAGAAAATAACACTTTCAGGGGGGCTATTGGACGAGTGGGGTCGTGGTTTTGGACCGGAGACCAAGGCACCTGGACCTTGCACGAGACTGGCCATGACCCGGTTGGAACACCCAGGGCTCCGGCTAAGACCAGCAGGAGGAACGAACCTTCTTCAGCCCAGGCGGATTCGGCGACGACCGGCAGATTGGTCGGACCACAGAGGGCGGAGACGGGTCGGCATCCGAACGAAGAACCAGCGAGGCACGGCTCCGAACGCTCCATGTACTGTTTGGCATAAAAAATATAATATATATATATATATATAGACCTACACAACCGCCCCAAGTCAACCACCCCAACTGATCCAAAAAATGGCATATACCAGGACCTTCCAACAGGTGGTTTTTGGACACCCCGAACCAGCTCTAAGAGGCTATTTATAGACACCTCTTGGAAGGTCCTGCTTGGCTGGGCCGTGCACAGAGTCTCTATGATTGGAGGTCGGGGCGGAGCTGATTCTTGGCTCAGTCTTTCCGGTTCACTGAAGCAGTATATAGATGAGCAAAGGAAGTCCCTGATCTTCCAATTCTCTGCGAAGCTTAAGTGAAAAATCTTAGGAACTGGCAGATCCCAAACATCTTAAAACGACAAAAAGCGCCGTCTTCTCTCAGATTGCTTCAGATGACCTTTCTGGGGCGCCCAAGGAAGGCAAACAAACTGGCCATGAGAGGGTGGAGGCCATCCTTCAGAAGTAGATGTTCTACAATGCTGTACTCTGACCACTTCAATTCGATTGCCTCTCATCAAATCAAGACTGGGTGATGTGACATATTCCGCATCCTACTGTTCCCAAGTGCCTGGGTGTTCGACCAATTCAAAGCGCCCAACTTCAAATCGTCCAGTCCCAAGAAACCATCACCTCCCGTGAGTCTTTATGCAATGAATGGATGCAGAATATCTACAAATATCTATCTACGACCTACTCTTTTGCTCCAAAGCAATCCTTCTGATGGCTCAAAGTTCCGCGCGCTGATGGCACATGGGCTGGGGAGACGCAGAACCGGACGCTGGGGAGTTGCTGAAGCTGGCGAGCAGCTGGCTGAAGCTGGGGAGCCTTCTGGGCTCCTGCTCCATGTCCTCAAGATCGGTGGGGACCTTGGCTGTGGTGCTTTTCGCCACTAAGCCTTGGGCAAGGAAGGCATCTGGTCCAATGTAGGTCGCCGAGTCAGGGATGGTGATGTATTCCAACGAGCTGCAGTTCATGAAGGCACCGCCCTCATTCCAGGTCGCTGAGAGGGGAATGGTCACACTTGCCAAAGAACTGCATTTCATGGTAAAGGGAATGGTCACAAAGAAGGGCATCGGCCACACGTGCCGTTCAGAACCATCCCCGGTCACGGGTCAGGGATGGCCACACCGAGACGACCAAGCAGACCTGCACGTCTCGATCGGCCGTCCGCCAAGGTGAGTCAGAGTCACCCACCGACATGGACAGAGTTGCCAAAGAGCCACAGACACAAAGGATCCTCGGTTGGGATGTCAGCCACCAAAGATCTCAAAACGGGCATACGGTGCCCGTATGTGAGGGCATGTCACTGCATTCTCTTCCGAGGCAATTGTCAGTGACAGTGGTCTTGAAAATCATGAATGTATATAGTGACATCCTCTCATATCCTCTCACTTCCGAATCTCCAGAAAGGCCCGCCTCCTCAAGAGATTGATCATCTTCCAACAGACTCTCTCCCACGATCAGATGCATGCGAGTATTTGTGCGTCCCTAAGTAGTTACCAGGAGTTCCAGAAGGGTGTGTTTTTGTCCCTAAGTAAGTGGATCATGGGCAGCCCTATTCTCCGACATGGAACTGCTGGTATAAAGTGTTTATAAGCCTGGTCATCTTGCTTAGACACATTGCGATCATTGCCTTTCTTTCACACTGGGGGGCGACAATAACAAGTCCTGCGACACCGCGACACCACAGGATGTGATCCTCGCATCTGAAGGGAATATAGGGCCCTTGCCACCCAATGTTGATCGAACAAGTACTTCTACCTGGATCATCCTGTCTGGATCGCCAGACTGCACTACAGGTCGAAACCCAGACAGAACACGACAGGATGATCCTGGTATGTACGTCTCCTCTACCCAAAAAATGGTCCTGAGAGTAGCGAAGAAATCATGAATACATCGCGTGACGGCGATTGGAGAGACCCTGTCTGAATTCCCACTTTGGTGAGCTTGTGAGCTGCCCCACCCGACCCCGTCAGCCCAGCAAGTCCAGCAAGTCGTCTGTAGGTCTACAGACCGTCGGTCTGGAGACCCTGGGTGGTTTGTATGAGGTGGAACTGGCATGACTCTGGAACAGGTTCTTCTGATTGATGTAGAAGTCACTCGACTTGCTGGGTCACCTGTACCAAAACCGTCCAAAGATAGTGATGGAAGCGAAGCATCACTGAGGGCATATAGATAGTGTGCAGGTCTCTCAAAAAAAAAAAACAGCGGCTGATCAAATGAATCACTCGAGTCACTCGACAGCTGATCAAATGAATCGGTACCAAGTAGCGATAGTTGCCCAAACCCACACAATTTCCTGCGGCAGTGTGTGGCGGCAGTCATTTTCTTGGAGAAACACTGGTGATATCATTCTTCCTATCTTCCTGGCTGACTTATCTAAAAAAGAGCCAAGAATGAAAACTCTGGAGAAGCCAAATATGCTTCTTTACGGTTCTTCACATGAACGTCATGAGTATTCCGCCCCTCTTCTTTTTGATACAGTGGTTTCAGAGGTTCGATGGCACAGGAAAGAAGAAAAGACGAAACCCTAACCCTACGAGTCCAGTCGGACCACCGGCTCCAGTCAAACGAGGTCCGTAGGAATCTGTAGGGCAATCCCTGAGAGTCCAGTCATGACTCATGAACTACCCCCATGGTAGTGGTGGATTATGACTACCAGGTGGAGTAAAATGAGTCAAAACAGAAGTTCTGGGACTGTAGGGAAAGCTACTCCATCACCGGAAGCCACGAAGCAGCCTGTCGCTGCAAGGTGTCGACCATTCCATTCCTGCACTTCGTCGCGAGCTTTGGCATTCGCTGCGGGCGGTCCTAACCAAGTGCAATGATGGTCGAAGCGAAAGACCTCGGTGGGAGTGAAGCGTGAGGTGGTTTGTTCCCCAACGAGGTGGTCGAAGCACACGAGGGTCACGAGGTGTCTTCACCAGCCAGGAGTTGTGAAAGAAAGGTTCACCTTCACCTTCATCTCTGCGACCCCTTCACCTCTTCACCTCGTGCGATTTGGAGCCTGGAAAACAGGCATGTTGCAGGTGAAAAAAGAAAAACGTCTGTAGGAAAACAGACTGAGTCTTAGAAGAGTCCAAAAGGAGTCGCTGCTGCGGTGCAGATTGTTTGAAGCTGCTGCGCTGCGGTCCCAATGGGTGATCCTCGACTGTCAAGCTGGGGAGGGGATCTTTTGGGGGACCAGGCAGGATGTCAAGAAACTGTTACAGACGTGTCAGATAGGTTTAATGTGGTTTAATAATGGTTTATATGATACATCCCCCAAGGGGTCCCAGCCGATGCTGTCAAACGGGGAAGTAGGTTGAACGAAACATGTGGACTGTTGATGAATCCCCCAACACCTGGAGATGTCAGACCATTCGACAGTTTTTTATAGGGAGTTGTTCATCAACAGTCAACATTACCCAAACACTCCATGTATTGAATGTATGCCTATATCGGGATGGTTTTGGGGGGGTCAATGTAGGTATATGTAATTAATATGATACATGATACATACCTAATATGATACATACCAGGACCATCCTGTGGGTGTCCAATGGACGATATACCCTACACTACTTAGGGATCTCCAGACAGGACACCCATTGGATCTTCCAGGTATATCTACTGTATACAATATGACATATTCCCCGACCCCAAACTCGAGTTGATGGAAAGCCCTCGGCGGATTGGATCTTATCATGCTGCTGCAAAGGTTTCTGAGGTTCTCTTTCAGCCTAGACACACAGCGATCGCAGTAGGCGCAATGCTTCGAGCGCAAAGGTCTATAGACCCTGGCGGATGATCAGAAGAAAATCGCTTGATTGAGCTAGTGGATGAATGGAGACGTTGGAAGAGGAACACACATAGGCCCCCTTTTTTCAAGAAAAGACAGGCCCTTCGAATGGCTCATATGGATACAAATAGAGGATGCTCTGCTTCCAGTGTCTGAGTGTTCGGGTCAGGTTTGTAGAGTGTGAGACTCTTCGGTCCATGCGAAACTCATCGGGTAACTTCCATGCGTTTTAGATGGTTCACCGATCTCTAGGCTTTCACCGATCTCAAGGTATTCGGACTGTCGAGGCTGGGTGAGGATCTCTTGAGGGTGCTGATGAAGAAAAGAGATGAACGAACAACTCCAGTGCATCTCCAGTTCATCCTTCAGCCATGCAAGTTCTCCTGGTTCGAATCAATAACGAGTCCTGGAGCCATCCAAGCTCCATTGATTGATTCAATTTGATTCAACGTCCGATTCCGCTCGAGAAGTCTTGCATCGTGTGCATGTTGAGTGCGGGGGTTCCCTGCTTCACCGGGGCCTGCAAGTGCTGCACCATCCCTGCTTCACCGTCACTCCATTCACCATCACAAACCTCAGTCGACGGACACAGCAGATTCGACCGAACTCTCCACCTGTTCGTAAACGACTCCAGCGAGCATCGGCTGGCATTGAACACTCTGGATCAAGTGCCGAACTATCCACCTCTTGAGCTCTGAGATGAAGTGGCTAAACCAACCAATCTAAGGTTTTGGTTTCTTGTGTTTTTTGGAGGTGATCCAAGTGTACGTCCTGGGTAGGTGAAGGCTTTGGGCTGAGGTCCGCTGGTGATTGGACACACTCTTCTTGTTTTGTGCGGAAGAACCGAGAACCGCAAACCCAAACCGAAAAAAAAGAAAAAAGGACGGCAAGACCGAACAGCAAAATGTGGAATAACTTAAGGACTTAAGGAGACAGAGCTGTGAGACAGTGCGGTTTCGGGATAGTCGGCTAGAGTACTGAGTATGATAGTAGTATGACATAGTGATCCCAAAATTGATTGAACAGTCCTTTCAAACATGCCATTGGAACCCATGTCCTTCCCTAGTTCTGGACCACATCCAGCTCCTTTATCCCAACTATACCTCCTACCTATTTCTTGCACTGCCCCCAAGTTGTACCTCGATTCAGTCTCGGTATCAACTTCCAACTCTGCCTGGTGTTTTCCACCTAAGCAAACCTCCTCCAAACCTACCGCAAACTCCAAAAAGCTAAACCAGATCAAGGGGGACCCATCAAGCGACCCATGTGCCCATCGCTTCGCCCCCGGTCGACCGGTCCACCGGTCCGCCTGGCAGGCACCGAGGCCCGCTGGGGATCCGCCGAGCGGGGAACCTCGGTGGTAGGCCAAACGGAACCTGGCATGCTGTTGCATGCATGATGGTTAAAAAAAAGTGAATATACATATATTATATATACACGTAATACGTACTATATATATACTATATGACAGTATAGATATATATATATATATACACACTATATGGTAATTATGGTATCTCCCCCCAAGCTAATTACAAAGATTGTGGATGTTGAACAATTGCATGACATGTATAGAAAGAAGATGAAACAATTGCATTTCTCTCATCAAAGGGCACCTGCCCGAGTCGATGACATTTCGCCCATCTGTTGTAACCAAAAGCCAACCATTAAAGCAGTCGGGACAAGGCCCGGTTTTGCAGTCTAGTTGAGTGGAAAACAGTGCGCCCAAAAACACGGTGTCAGTGGATCAGAAAAAGACAGTGGCCGCTTCTTCCTTCAGCTTATGGGTCCTGCCCAGCAACTGTAGCCGGCCTCGATTCCCGAACACTCCAATATACGGCAACTGTTGCCGCCCAACTGGTCCCCTGAAATCACCCTAATATAGCTTCTTGTTGGCCTTGATCTGAGAATACCTTGGAACTTTGACATAGTAGGTACTCTAAGATTCTAAGACATGTCATTTAAAATAAGTAGGATCTATTAATTATAAATTTGAGATGATCCTTCTCAACGCCTTTTCACGAGTTCCATGTTTCAAAACTCTATTAAGCGACGTCCTTCCCGCGCCTCATGCACCATGGGAAGATCCCTTCTGTCTCTGAACCCGTCAGCGACTGACCGGCACCGGAGCAGAATGCTCCTTCACTCACTGTCACTTGTTCTGCTCCTTCGGTTCACGACTCAAAACTTGGAATCATGACAAAGATACCTGGACCTTCAAGGGGTGTCCAATGGAGGTCCCTTAGTAGTGTAGGGGCTTCCATTGGTGACCCTTTTGAAGGTGCTGATATATATATATATATATTATATTAATATGTCCATCACACATCCATCTGGGTGTGGTTCAGCTACTATCTTAAAAGTTGTGAAGAACGAACTGCGAGAAGCATTCCAGACCTATTTACAATCGCTTTGGATTCTTCGAAGTCAATCATGAAAAGCAAACAAATCAAACAAGAAAAACACTCACCCCGCTCTGGGCTCCCTGGCCACGCCAGGGTTCCTGAAGGACCACATGTAAAGCGTGTTTCACGTTTCAAGCACATGCTTGGCGTGACATTGATTTGCATTGATTCGTTTAGGGTAAGTTATATACAAGTTGGAACCAAATGGTTCCAAAGTCAACTGTGAACTGTGAGCTTTTGCTGCTATTCTGTTTCTGTGATTTCAAGCAAACAACATCCAGGATCCAGGTTTCAGTGGCAATCGTCCAGGTTCAGGTTGCCTGCTTTTTTTGATGTGCAATTGTAGAGTCAATTCGCTATCTGCAAGAGTTGGGAGGTTGGGATGTTCAAGTTGGGATGGTGAAGTGGTGTCCAGAGCTGAGAAATGGCACTGGCACTGGCACCCAAGATGTCTATCCGACCAATGAACCAGCACTCAGGACTACACAGTGGAGAAGATGTTCTAAGTAATATGGATACCTAACAAAGGCTCCAGTGATTGTATGTAACCAATGGGAGTCCAGATCAACCACCCACCTCTGAAACTGCCGGGGCAGAACGAGTCGATAGGACTCCTGGTTCCACCAGACTAGACCTGGTCAGTTCAGACAGCACTGGCACATTCCCCTACATAGGTCGTTTCTATGGATGATCAAATGGTCCATATTTGGTATCTGCCATGTAAAATGAAACACCCGTAAGAGGAGACATTGAGCAAGTCTTGGACTGTCCACAAAGAACGTTCCAACCTCTTGAGCTGCTCACTGTCTGGCGTGGCTTTCCATCGAAACAACGTGAAGACATGGTCGGACCTGGGTATTTCTTGGCCTTTGGCTTTGGGTCGCCAAGGGTGCAGGTAACAAAGCACCCGTGGGTGGGTGCTTGAACTTCCCATCACGCAGCTGCATGCATGCGTCCTGCACGCAGCTGCAGCAAGAGCCAGCAAACCTCGCGTGGCGACAGTGCGACAGCGCTGCAAAGCGTGCGTTGCTTTGATTGATGGGGTCTGCAAAACTGAATCGATCATCTAGTGTTGCGTCCAAGGGGGTCTTCCTCACAGCGACCAAGCAAATATCAGCCACCCTACAACGAAACATGTCGACGCTCCTCCATCTCATCCAAGGGCCAGACATATGATGGCCCAAACGCTGCAAAAACCCTGGCAAGGGCGCACCAGCTATTCACACTGCACTATACGCACCAGCTACCGGCTCTAACCAGCTACCGGCTCGCGGCTCGGCTCGCGGCTCGTTTGGACTGGCTCGTCCGTCCCGCAGGTCCCTGACCGATCGGTCCCTTTTCGTATCCCCAGTCGACTGCCGTCGCTACCCGGTGAGGTCCCCACTACCCGTTCTTCGCAACGCGGCAACGCGAGTTGTTGGAAGCCTCCACTCCTTGGGAAAGATCGCCAAGGTCGCGCTCCTAAAGGATGAACCATCTTCCTGTATACACGCGGACCGTACGGGACCCAAAAAAACTTCGTTTGGTCAAGCGAACCTATCGAGAAGGAGACGAAGACGAGCCTCAAATGCATGAAAAACGAAAGAATCGTCTTCGGTGTAAGACCAGACCATCGATCTCAAGAAAATGACATCTACAACCATTTCGGGAACGGAATGGAGCTAGTTCCTTCACGATGTGGCGGCTTGAATGGCTTGATCCTTCACGCTCGAGTGAGCTGGTTTCGACTGAAACCACAGCTGTCCGGTCCACTGATGGGTGGTACCAGGCAGGCGCGCCCCGAATGGGGCACCACAAGGCACCCTGGAACATCGGACCACTTGATTCGGTCATCACGAGCGACCCCACAGCGGATGACGACGGGAAGTTTTACGATACACAGCTGGGGAAGTGATGTGCAGCAATGGATGGATTCATGAGTGACATGCAGCGTGACACGCAAGAAAAAACGAAAATGCTTCGTGACGATCGCCAACAATTGCATGAGAGGCAAAGCTGCGAAGCCAGTGGAAATATGGAAAGCTGCAAAAACGTTTTAGGCCACACCTTTGTTTGAATCTTCAGGGCTTTAGTTTCGGGGTCATCATGAAGTTTGGCTATTGATGCGGAGACATCTCTCTTTAGCCTGGTCCAACCTGTTGACAGTGGATCCCAAACCAAACGATTCAGTTTGGTATAAATTTTGCGCGTCAGAGGTCTCTGACCGTTTCTTGAGGAGGGGGAGAGAGAGAGAGAGAGAGACAGAGAGACAGAGAGACAGACAGACCTTTGGCAGCCTTTTCATTTGCAATATCCCTATAGGAGTAGAACTGATACATGCGTAGTTGGAGAGATTGCTTCCGGAATCTGATAATTGTTTGGTGCTTCTGCCGTAAACGGACCAATCTGATGAACACATTATGCATCCAGAGTGACAAGATCTCCCCTATTCTCCTTGGCAGGAACATTCCAACGAAGCATCCTTATCTATGGGACACTGTGGACCGAAAACAACACATATCTTTAGTGTTGCCGTGCCATTTAATGCTTACAGTATATGGAAGAGTTCCTGGGCTTCTTCTTGATCGAAAAGCATCATTCCACTGTCCTCAGGTTTCTGGTCAGGAAGGAAAGTCGGTATTGAGGTCAACAAGAGAGCCCCCTGCAAGACAAAATTGCACTTTCAATTGCCGCACGAATCTTGTAGGTCTATGTTGGATTGCTTTGAGTCTTTCAGCCGTGTAGGATCCCAGAATTTGGGCATGCCCTTCGATTATGATCTCATCACAAATCACGATTATTGTGGCCCGGCCCAAGAAAGCCTTCGATTTCTTCACCATCAATCATCAATCGACAAGCCTGTGTCATCTTTTTCTTGTCAGCGAAGAGGTCTGTTTGTGATTAGTTGGTGGAGTTCATGATCTTGATGGTGAAAAAATAAAACGTTAAAAACAACATGCGAGTTCGCAGAACTAAACCGACCCAGAACATCCGATCCATGGCTCGTGTTGACTGGTCAACCTGCACAGAACTTGTTATGAACTTGTACAAGAGAACTTGACCACTTAGACAGGATTCTTCGGGATTTGTGTTGAATCTTCGAGCCAGACAGCTTTGCAATCACATTCTTGAAACAGGAAGGGACGGGAGCAGTTTTGCGCATTTGTTGGACGGGCGCAACGACTGGCCAGACAGCTATGCACTGTGTATCAAACCGGCAGTTGAAAGGCCCAACTTCAACTTGCGAGCACGTCATTCTTTCCTCGGATCAAGAGTCTATCACAGCCTTTTGCTGACGCTGAGGGCGGGCTGTGCGCGGTGGATGTTCTGTTGAAGCTCTCTGGTCGACATGGATCGTGCTCCCCGCCAGATGGCCAGATCTTACCATTCACGACTTCGAAGAACTGTGGCAGGCCGCGTTTGCGGGACCTAGGCCTTCTCGCAAACCGTGCATACCTCCCTTTTTGATAGGGAGGTATTTAGACGTTTCACGTCCGAATTGCTCCATGGTGGATCTTTGTCCCATAGACTCCATGGGACTGCCATAGGACTGCCGATCAGGCCAGGGGTGGTGCCAGGGGGGTCAATGGATCGGCAGTCCTATGGCAGTCCCATGGAGTCTATGGGTGTGAAAGGAATTTCGACTGACCACTTCGCCTGGTGCTCTGACCACTTCGGGCGGTGGCAATCAGAGCTGTCGGCCCTAGGCTGGTCACAGCTGATATGGCCTGATGTATGGCTGGGCATGGCCGAGCATCACGAAATCCCACACTTCAGAACGGATCAAAGGCACCATGTAGCCAGATGTCCGAGAAATCCGCGACCAAAATGTGTTGCAATCTTGGGTAGAAGATGGCAGAAGCCTTTGGATCACTTGCTCCAAATGGAGCTCCCCTCTCCTGTGCTAAAACGTGTTCTCAATCTGCCTGAAGCTATCAAGACTGTGGGAAGTTCGTAAAGTAGGCTGCGCCGCTATCACTCGTTTAGCCGTTCAGCGTGAACTCGTCAGTCTCCCTTGAACGACATGGACCCGTTACAGGGTGACCCATTGGAAGCCTTTACATGACTCGAAAACAACTTCAAGGGAGTTCAAAAAACTTGAGAGGAGGGAGACACGAAAGGTAGGACAGCAGGAAGAGAAGAGAACGCGAGAGGCAGGAACAAAAATGCAATGTTCGACATGGTGATTTATCCCCTCGGAGGCGACCTTTCGTAAATATATGTTCATATGCACTTTAAATGTTCAAACATGTGCTCTCGAAATGTTCAAAAAGATTCTTAGGAAAACAAACTTGCCCCATGGCTCAGATCATCGGTGAGCATTGAATCGGAACATCATAGGATTTGAACTATCCTGAAACCATAAGAGGCTCACGAAGACGCTCCCCAGGAGAGAATTGACGTGCTTCACAAAACAAACTCTAGGTATGTATCCCCTCGGGGAACACCTTTCGTGATTAGAATTTCATATTCACTCTTTCTGAATGTTCAAGAGGGTTTCAACTATCCTGAAATCATGAGAGGCTCACGAAGACGTTCTCCAGGAGAGAATTGATTCTAGAGGGGGGGGGGGTCTGAATTGAGCGATCAATTATTAGACCCGGACGTCCCAACACTTGCTTCGCAAGACAAACTCAAGGTATCCCCTAAAGGGCTACCTTTCGTGACATTCACGAAACCTGTTTGCTGCCTGCGCCCGACGGGCGCAAAACACGTCAACCCAAACTGGGCAGCGTTGCAGCGCATTTTACAAGCATTGGCAGCTCCAACTCGACACCTGCATAAAGCACGAACACGTTTCGTTGGGATACCCGTTTTGCTCTACGAACAGGTGGTGTTCCACTCACTTCCATGACTACTTCAGGGAGTGTTTGTCTACCAAAGGTCCCCGTGCGAATGATGTTCACGAAATGTCCCTACAGTGTGACATTCCTTAACTTGGCACCTCTTCTTGAAAACAAACATGGACAAATACAAAGAGGGCAATCTGTCCCAAAGCATGTCCAAACCTTACAAAGCATACACCTGGTGCCCCTAGTCTATCACATAAATCTGTTCACTGTTATGTTATGCAAGGGGTCAAAAAGAAAACCAAGAGGTTCAGGTCTTAGAGGCTGCATTGTGCTCTATAGACCCTAAACCCTATACCTTTTGAGGTTCTGTGGGTCAACTTCTCATTTCTGGTGTATTTCACCCGGCTTCCTCTGTGATTCCTCCCCAAGCGTGCCAGGATGGACGGTGCTGAGCCCCGAAAGTCGAGGTCCCTGGCGAGGAGGCGAAGCCGTTTGGTGCGGAGCGAGCTCCGCGGTGGAACGACGTCCCAAAGAAAATGGGATGGAACCAATGCACCAAAAGCGTTGGCTTGCTTTTTGGCTTATGCTTTTTGCCTTGCTTTCTGGCTTATGCTAAATCGTTCGAGATTGCTTTTACTATCGATATAGATCTCGAGATGTTGTATTCATCATTGCTGTTCTTCCATTTACATCTTCAGTGATTCGGAATCCCTCGTTCCTCGCATCTTTGACCAGGTCACTCAGACACCTAAGACACCTGATGTTCGAGGTCGGCTTTCCGCTGGGAAGGTGCCCCCAAGGCGTGTCGGATCGGACGTCGGCCAAAAGGCGGCTCACGAGCTCCGGAGACCTGGAACGGTGACTCCTTGAAGGGCTCAGCCTGCCAAGAGAGGTTTTTCACCGCCCTTTTTTCCTCATCCCATATATACCACAGACATCCACGGACCAGGGTCCTAGTTCTGGTTTGTCAATCTCTCTTGGTGGTGATGGCTCAGCCCAAACCACGTCCACCTGGGTCAACGAGTTCACCTCGACAGGTCCGGCACCTCGACCTGTCGATGTGCTCGAAGAAGCACGCGGCCTAGGAAGTACCTTGGCACCGTTGATCGAAGCAGCAAGACGCTCGCTGGTGCCCTGGGGGTCGCGGGTGCGTATTTCGACCCCCTGGAAGAAGGGAGTAGACCAGTCTATCCATTTCTTGGGGGGCTCTCCGAGAGAGTCTCTCTCAGATTTCAAAACACACGCGCACCCATCACCCGATCCAAACAAAAGCAAAACCAACCAACTCAATCTGATCCGCACAGTTCAGCCCAAAACCCTCCCAATGACTCGTCGCCAGGCGCGTGTCGTGCCAAGTCCCACCCAAAAACCTCGGAGCTCAGGCCGTTTTTTAAAGGACTCGCCAAGCTGTTCACGGATTCGGAGGCCGTTCGTTCATGCGCGAAGCTGCTCAGCGACCCCCAAGCGCTCCGCCCCCCGAAGCGGTGACACACCAGACCCGAAGTGGGGAGGTACAAGGCCGGAAGAACCGTCATGGCCAAGGTCCTGCGCGCCCCGTGCGGGCACCGGAACCGAGTGATGGGTTCGAAGGGCCTTACCGGAGGTTGCAAGTCTTGCAAGAGAGCGATACAGGATGAAACCCGAAAAAACACGAGAGCGATACAGTGATGGGTTCCAGAATGTCAATCGGAAATGGTCTAGGATTTCTACCAGCATGGCTGAATACCAGCAAACCTCGTCTTGCAGCACCTCGGCCGCGCCAAGCTCGACTTCTATAAGCTCTTCACTCTGTAGCACAGAATCTTCCACATCAGGAACATGCACTGGACCCCTCCTCGTCCCAGTGGGACCTTCAATCGCCTCGAAGAACACTCGATCATCCGGTGATGTCCGACTCTGGCGAAGACTACAGGGGGCGGTGACAGCTACCATTGACCGGTCATGGTTGTTCACTTGGTGTGTACCCCCTCGATTCATCAACCAATGCCAGTACAAGGCTAATGGATCTGATGGCTCGAGCAGGAGGAGTTCCCCCCCTCGTTCAGCGCAAACGAGGCGGAACCGTCCTCCATAGGCTGCCGAGATGTGGGCCTCGGCCAAGGTCAGACCCCCCAACAAAAACGAGTCTCGCTCTTGGTCACTTTGAGATGTTCAACATGTCACATGTCCCAAATGAAAAACAACAAAATAACCATACCTAGTTACCTAGCGCTTCCTTTAACGGGGTGCCCGGAGACCTGGAGACCTGTTTACCTCCGTGACGTGTGGAGATGTCCAGCCAGGTGACCCCGTGTCCGGTGGCGCAGCTCTATAATATTATACAATAATATCCAGCACCACGGAAAGGGTGTCCATTAATAGCCCCTTAGAGGTTAAGGGCTGTCCATTAACCACCCCGTTGGGGGTCCTGGATAGTTCATATTAAGAATGTCATTCTGCACCTGACAGATCCTCTCCTCATCCGCAAAGGAAGTGTTGCCGTGTTCCTACCCCCCGGTGGAACCGGACGTCGGTTCCGCGAGCCGAGCATCGGAGCGAGCTCGCGGGGTCCGGAGATTGTTCAGTTTCGAAGCAGTTGAGATCAATAAGGCCCACGGAAAGCTCAATTGACCCCCATCATTTGCACTTATAATTAATGTATAAAATACTATATGTCGCTATATATACACCTGCCATTTAGATCCATTTAGAAACTTGTCCTCTAACAATCAGTTGGAACCATAAATTGACCACCTCTGATTGGAGATGATTGGAGTAGGGTGAGAAGACCAAGCAATTCCTTCCAACCATCAACCATCGATTGGTTCAAGGGAAAAATCGACCCGTTTTCCTGCATGTCCCCTACTTTTCACAGTGTTCATCAAATCTCTGTCTGTGTTTTTTAGAAAAATGCTTGCTTAATCAAAACGAATTACCCTAGAATCTCACAAACGCTTGCTTCAACTTTTCCCTTAAACCAATTCAGTTCCAACCACTGCCTGTTGTTGAAAGCGTTTGTGTTTCGTTTCTGGGCGCCCCAAACGCACGAAGCGTGGCTGCTGCTCGATCAACTGGCGGTCAGCGAGGGTGCCCAAAGAAACCACCTAAGAACATATACAGTAGTTGATGTAAGAATATGCTGCAAAATTTGGTTGATGCAAACATGTAGCTAAATATAGTTGACCTTCGAGTGATTCTTTTTCTCAGCACAAGAGACCAACAACTTTCCACAAAGTAAAACATGACTCGAAGCCTTCGAACGAAAGTTGCAGAGACTCAACACCCTCGACACCTCTTGGATATCACTGGGCTCAAGCCAGTCGCGGAGCTCATGGACATCTGCCTGCAGCGTTCCGAACAGCCGCGTCCACGTGGTGCCTGGCTAGAAATAGAAATCCAGTTCAACATGAAGTCTATGTGTCTCTAGATAGTAATTTCCTTGTAAACCCCATGATATACCTATAATATTAACATCATATACGAGTGTCGGACAATATTACTTATTACCTGCAAAGGACTTTTATAATTTGGGTGGGCCCCTATCGGTTTTCAGGTTTCGGTCGTCTTCGGGCGCTGCAGTGCGGTGCCTGCACTAGTGGCAGCTGCGCCATGAGCAAATCGAGGTTGAAAAAAAGAACGCTTGTTTTGAGAAATCCCCTCCTTCCAATGTGTTTGGGGAATTTGGGGGATGTCGAAGAAGGGGCTGTGCTTGCGCCTACCATCGAATTGGAAAGCGATGGAATGTGCTGGCAAACCCATAGCAACACACCTACAAAGACGACGTCCAATGATTTCCAATGATCCAGGCATCCCTGATGATTGTGGTGCTCAACCTCTTATCTGAGCTGATCTCGGCATTCAAGAACTCCTTAAGAGATCGATGGAGCATTCTAAACATGTCTAAACGATTCAACTTTTTGAGATCTGTCACAGGTTCTCGACGGTCCAACCTGCCGACCAAAGCTGTGCAGGGCACCCGGCGCTGAAGGGGGGGGGACGTCTTCGAAGACCGAGGTCTGCGAAGATCGGGGCCCAATCCATGTAAAGGCTCCACCAATCCATGATCCATGACACCAAGAATGAGCCGACTGGTAGTTCCTCCCAGCCCGAAATCGACTTCAGAGGGTTTGGTTCTCTAAGTTCAATTGTGGGTTTGTCAGAGTTTGTCACAAAGAAGATCCGGCAAAGAAGATCCGGGATCGCCACGTCCAGGGCTTGACAGGTGACAGGGGTCTCTTTGTTGGGCTTCTGTCGAACGCGCAAGCTGCAAGCTGCCGAAGCTGTTAGCCAGACGGCGGATGGCACGGAGGGTGCGGAAGTATGCGGAAGGGATCCAAACCATGTCCAACAAAGTCACGCCGCACCCGAAGGTATCCCGAAGGTTGCAAGCAAATCTGCATTAAGAAGTCAGCTCACCCTCGCCCCAGCGACAAAGACTTGAGATATCTTGAGATATTCTTTCCTTATGTAGCACTCGAAAGGTGAATGAGACAGTTTTACATGTCTTTGCAAACCCGAGTTGTCTTGTGTGTGGGTGCTGAACACCACAACAGCCCGTGCGCAAGGGTAACCTCCTCTCTACATGGACCTTCAGCCAAAGGATTTGAGCCAAAATCGAATTGGTTCATGGACGTGCTGTTGCTGACACTCCAGCTTTTTTGGTTCCTGCGGAAAACCATTCCATTCAATCGACGCCTTCGGCGTTGACTTGGGAGTCCTGGCGTCCCATCCTGCCGGGCTCGAAAATCGCCCTCAAAATCTGGGCATCTCCTCCTCATGAAAAACAACAGGAGTTTGGTCGACCGACATGCTTGGCGTTGACAGTTTGGGGCCACAGCCACATGAGACACATTTTCATTTAATCCTAATGATACACATGACGCTCACAGGAACTCATCTGGCCCACCTGCACGAGATGGAATCACCCAAAGTTTTGGACAAAAAAGTGCTCATGCCACACTCCAAAAAGCATTGGCACACTCTGACATCTCTCCATCCAAGTACTGAAACACAAACTACATAAATTATCTTTACCAGCACCACAGAAAAGGTTCTTATTGGAAGGGCAATAATAAATAGTCAAAGATATAAATAAAACACCCGAATTCCGTGGTGCTGGTAGGCCATCGTCTACACGTCGAAAAGTCTGCCCTGTTCGTGTCTGCAACTTCTATCCCAAATTGACTACTGCCACAAAAAACAAACACAACCCGCCTGAAACGTCACCTCCAAGTCCAACAAAGTCCAACCGCAGGTCAACCAAAGACCCTTCGAAATCCACTAAAATCCAAGCTAAAGATCACCGAAGTCCAACTGACAGACCCAAAAATATTCCCCAAATCTCCCCAGGTTGGGTGACCCCCTCTCATGTCATAGGAGAAGCTAGGTATCAAAAAATCATGAAAACATGTGCTGATGATGTTGAGTAATGTCCTGCTTTGGTGCTTGGAGCTTATGCACACACGGGCTCCTACGCACCAGCCTACGCATAGCCTACGCCACGCAGAAGGCTGCATGCGCGGGAGTGTTTATCTAAGTCCGGGATGCCTACGCGAGCAAATGAAATGGCAAGAGGTTAGCAAATGCCTACTGTCCCATTACCTTTGTTTCTTGAAGTGTTCCATGAGAGTGACGATGAGCACGAAGTTGAAACTTAAGTCCTATAGCCTATAGGCTTATAGGCAATGGAAACCGTTGACCAGCCAGTAGTGACAGCCCACTGTTAGCTGCCAATCACACCACCAAGGCACTTGAGCCTTAACCAGGGTGGGGGAGTGGGCTGCTGGTTGAACATGAACTCCCGTTCCTGCGCACAGGCCTACATGGGGCCTACACGAGGCCACCGCGCTGGGCAAGGCACAAAAAAGAGCCGTTTGTAAGTCAAGAAACAGCTGATCAGTTGGAATTCTGCGCTGCACTGCACCGTCCATGACATTGGATTGTCTCAATTCCGCGCATGTGAACTAATCCAGAAGTGCTGGATGTGCGTGCGCAGCACCTGCTTTCAACTTGCTCTCTGTGTGCGGTCCATGGGCCCGTGACTGGCCTAGTGCATCATTCATGTTCTACTCACTAGCTACCAACAGAGAGCTGGCCAACTCACTAGCTACCCGACATGCTTGGACAAGGTCAGAACATGCACTCCCAAAAGAGCGTAACACAACAACCCTACCCAAACAACTTATGTAAGCGTCTCCGCCTACAGCCTACGCAAGCCTACGCCAACCCACTAGTATCATCTTCTTTCCATCATCTCAAAAAATGCGCTACTTTTGGGTCTCAAATTCTTAAAGCCACAATACCACCCAAGGTTGTGGTCCAACTACTGAAACAAAGTTGCTTGAAGGAATCTGCTTCCGCACAAGACGTGCTTGACATAACGTTTTTGGCAGGAACTGGAGACGTGGCCGAGACTCCAAGCATGTAGATCCTATGCGAATCTGACCCTTCATGCTAAAAAGAAAGCAGTTTATGGATGATTATACCAGCACCCTCCAACAGGTCGCCTCTGGTGGCTTTTGGAGACCTAAAAGTGGCAGGTGGTGACCTGTTGGAGGGTATTATATAAGTTATATACCACTTACTACTTCAACAAATGGCTCAATCCCGTTTTCGATGTTCGTTCAGCGCACCTTCCATATCCCTTAAACAGAAAAGACAAACGTCTGTCGTACATCAATCTCATGGAAAGAAAACAAACAACCCATGCCAGGGCCCCTGAAGGGGTGGTTAATGAAGACCCCATGGACATTCCTTAGGCCCTAGGGGCCCTGGTGGATCTGCCCCAGAATATCGTCCCAATTTTGAGTCATTACCCGGCAGTATTCCCCCAGGCCCGTCAGCCCAGTTGGCTGAAAAACAGCACAGAGAGGTGTTTTCACATCGCACATGTATGGGTTAAACGTGGTTGAAGGCAGGGAGTAACAGGTTTCACACCTTTTTGTTGATTGATAAATCAAAAAACAATTGTTTAAAGAAAAACGGTTTCACGCCGCAACACCAAACTTCTGGGCAACTTCTGGGCAACACCAAACTTCTGCTAAGAGACCCGGGAAGAATAGAAAAAAACAACATATGAACTCATAAAAAGAGGCTAGAGGTGTTATCATGATTTACCCATTATTAATCAAAACAGGGGACCACCAGAGTGCGTATTCTATGTGTTTTTGCTGCCGACTTCCATCTATGTGCTATAAACTTCCCACTGTGGCCTGCATTCATGCTATGTGTCTGTGAAAGCTGCCTCAATGTCCTTTGCCACTGGAAAACAAACACAAACAGTCTCGAGAAAATATAGAGAGGTGACAGGGCGAGGGCTGAAAAGCGGCCCTTTTTGGGCCCGGGATGAGAAGACCAGGACCATCCCCCAGTGGGGTGTCTCCAATGGACCTATACTGCTTGGGGATGATCTCTGATCATTTATCTTTGACCTCGAGGGTGCGGGCTGTGCACCCTACTCCACCATCCTCCACCCAACGCCGATCGCCTGCTACGGCATGGGCTTCTCCTCTTTCCGCCCATCGGAGTAGAGCGCGAAGCGCTGCTGTGAACGCTCGTGCGCCAGAGCGTCGGAGGGCCAAGGCCAACCACCAAATTCGCTCTCCTGACGTCGATCTCGCTGGGGGAGCATGGGAATCGGAGGTCAAATGCCAGGATGCCCAAGAAAGGGCGGGCACCTTCATTACAGACCCTAGCGATCCACACACCCTCCTATCGGTACGGTGATGTGTTCAACACTGGCCGGTGTGGAGGGTCCAGAACTACCGAACCGAACGACCGACTGGGACCGACAGGGAGAGAACGAAGCCACCCCATGTTGAGATTGACAAGTTTCAAACAAGAACCATCGGCCGCACCAGGTGTCATTGACGAGTCATCTTCATCATCTTCTTTGGATATCAAATCATCTAAGCCCCTCCGCCCCTCCCAGTCAACTGGCCCCCCAAGAAAGGGGCGGTCTTCGCCTGGTAGTCCTTAAAGGCCTTGGCAATGTCCTCCCGGCTATTACCCACGAAGGGCCCGTGCCTGGGAGTGTTCACGTTCGGTTTGGGAAGGGTCGGCTGCGAGAGGTTTCAGGCTGCGAGAGGTTTCAGGTTGAGGGAAAGGCACGTGCAAGGTGTCATGACTTGTCATATCCATTCCTGGACCTTCAAGGGGTGTCCTGGCTGGAGGTCCCTTAGTAGTGGGCTGGGGCTTCCATTGGTGACCCCGACATGAAGGTGCTGGTTCGTATTTATGTGTGGCATCGTTTTATAGTCTTCCAGTCTTCATTTATCACGAGCAGGGTAGATGTGCATTTGCAAAGAACACGTCCTCGGAGTGTTCAAGAGTGTACCTCGCCTTCTGGACTGCTGGAACTCTACACAAATCTCCCAATCATGCTGCATGAATTCCCTTGCTGCCAGGTGCCCATAATGGGAACGCCATTCTTTTCCCACCACGAAAAACTTGTGTTGGAAAACTTCCACATTGAAAACCAGCAGTTTTCACCGGGGCAAACACCCTTTCGTTTTGACCAAAAGGCTCTACTTCACTTCACAGAACTGGTTTGTGGACCAGCATCCCGTATGAAGAGGTGGGGCTGATCTTCTTTCCATGCTTGAGGAACCTTGCTGATCTTCTTTCGCGAAGCCCGGGCGTGTGATCTGGATTCAGCAAAGCCCGGGCGACACTGAGGCTGTAGGTGAAAAATCCCCGGTCAAAATGGCGATGATTGTTGAACACCGTCTCTCAAAACATCACCAAGATCTGCCAATAAGGTGTCAAATCACAGCTACTGTCTATTGTAGGATAGATGTCAAGTGTCAACCCTCTATTAATCCCAAAGCATCGAATCCTTGACTCAGACCCCGGTGAGTCTCGGACCCTTGGACTGAACAGCTTACCTACCGATTCTTCGGCACTGCAGAAGTGAACTCATCGATTCAAGCAGTGAAATCGATTCAAACAGTATAAATAAAAGGCCCCATCCCCTCCCAAGTACCCTCAAAATCAACTAAAATCCAGATTTTTACTAGCCACATGGCCATCCATTCTGTAGTGGATAGACTAAAACGGGGATGTTCAATCACAAAGCCTCCAATCCTATCCACCCCTCCAGTCCTTCCGTGTTTTTGGAAGCAACTCTCCGGACTCTCTCCAACTCTCCAGCCCTTTCTGTAGTTGGTTGAGGGGTTCGATGGCAGCTCCCCCAAGGTCGGTTTTTCGTGCCATCACGATGGACCCCCAGACCGGTCTGACAAACACCTGAAACCAGGGACTCCTTCCAAAAGGATTTTTGTCCAAGGATGGTCTCCTTCCAAGGGAATTCTTTCCGGGAGACCGTAGCCTGCCGGGACCCCCTCCGACCCCCTCCGCGACGCACGCGCGAAGCTCGTGGTGGTCGTCCTGGTTGGACTCACCGAGACGCTGCACCACGGGCTCTCCAATGTCACTGCCCTGCAAGATCAGCACTTCCATGGGTGCGTCGACCGGGGCAAAGCTCGTGTCCATGTCCTAGAAGAGGATGGAGGGCACCGGATGGATTGGATGGATGGAAAACTGGATGAATTGGAAGGGAAAACCATCAGGCAAACATATATATATATAATATATATATATATGAAAACTATTTCGGAGGGTTATTTTACAAACACCCAAGCGGGGGAGGGGACCAAAAAAGGACCGGTGCTTCTGGGGTCTGGCAAGGAGATGGTTGCTGGTGAAATGGCGAGAGAATGAGCAGGCAGTTGTCGCGAAGTTCAGTTGGTTTGGAGGGACCAGAAGCGAAACTGTGGACAAATTGGAAGGGACTCTAATGTTGAACGTCTTCTGAATACCAAGTCGTGAGGAAAAACATATTTCCTGTGAAGGTGAATAAGTGGAACCCTTAGCATCCTTAGCCTTTCAATTGTATTGCAAGACTGATGGACCCTAATTTGTGAACTAGGATCCTGCAAAAACAACGGCTGTTCGTAGGAGTTCCTAGGATCCTGAGTAGTGATTCATGGCAGCAATGTTTGAAATACTGCTTGAAATACTTGATCATGCCGTGTAACACGTTGATCATTCTTGGATTCTTGGCCCAAAGAGGAAGACTTCCGAATCCCGCTCTGATGAACCTGCCTCCCAGCCAGGTCCATTCATCAGCAGAAAACAGGTGATCTCAGGGTTGCAAAAGCACTGGGACCACCCAGCAAAGTCGCCTGGAATTTGGTTGCAATTTTTTCAAAGAGAAATCATGGAGAAGAACTGAAAGGGTATACTGCCTCCTGCCCACCCTGGCCCTACCTGCACATCGTGTGGGCTTCCAATCTCCCCATTCACCCTGGATCAATCTCATTCGACTGCCGACGATCTGATCAAGATCTAAGGTACGGGTCGCAGTTTGAGCCGCTTCTGCCCAGAGATGACCTGATCGGCCACCTTGCTCTGCTGCCCCGTGTGGATGTAGGCGTTTCGGCTCAGGCCCTTCACATCGCCTGCTTCGCGTGGCGTAGAAAGTGGTGAGCTTTAGTCTTAGCTCCTCACAGTTTCCTTTGAAAAAAAGGTTAACCTGTTTTCCAATTTTTTGGTTGCGAGCTCCTTTTTGGCATAAATGTTACCGACTTCACACAGGAGCCTCTAATCAAACGTCGCTTCCTTTTGACTCTGGAAACAGCACCTCTCTGTAGACTCACTTCCTCGCAGTTTTGCTAGCAAAGTAAACTGGCGGCAGCAACCCTCCACTTCATCGACTCTAGCGAAACAATTCGCTGTGCCAACATAGGATTCTTGTCAGGTGAACGGGGTGTGTGCGCGCCTTCTATTCTAGATTCTACACTAACGCCGTGCAAAACATGTGAGGCGTCTTTTGCTGAATGGAAATGCGACAGGTGCGCATAGTCGAGCCTTTCGCCCACTGAGAGCCCCGGCAAAAAACTTAAATGCGGCCAGTAGGGTCAGAATCATATCTGTTCATATCTGTTCCGAATAGGAAATCCACAGACGCCGCCTGGCACCCCAGTAGGTGGCAGATAGTAATACCAGTAGTAGTGGTAATAATGGTACTACTAGTAGCAGTAGCAGTAGCAGTAGCAGTAGCAGTAGCACTAGTAGTAGTAGTAGTAGTAGTAGTAGTAGTAGTAGAAGTAGTAGTAGTAGTAGTGGTAGTAGTCGTAGTAGTAGTAGTGGTGGTGGTGGTGGTAGTGGTAGTGGTAGTGGTGGTGGTAGTAGTAGTAGTGGTGGTAGTAGTAGTAGTAGCAGTAGCAGTAGTAGTAGTAGAGCCCCACACACACTTGAGATTATGCGTACTGATTTGGCTGCGGTTTGCCACACGCCGGCCTAAGTGAAAACCTAAGAAACCAGGGTGGGTATGGGTAAAGCAAGCGACCATAAAACCTGCAAAGGCCTCCAAAGCTCTCGAAAAAGGTTCAAGTCTCAAGCTCACGAAAATCCGAGATGACTTGCCGCTGCATTAGACGCTTACTGCTCAACAAAGAATGAGACAGCTTTGCACTTACGTAGGTTCATCTTCTTGAAGCAGGTACGTCACGGTGATCAGCCGCGATATCCTCATGTACTGTGGCCACTTGGTTGGACCATCGCTCACAGCACATGGATGGTCCCCTGCATATCTAATTAACAGCAAAACAGTGATTAATCGAAACAGATCCTGCATACGCCAGCACCTGCAGCGCAGAAGAAGTCCAAGAGGGCCACCGCATTCTGAATGTCATCGTACCTGGAGCGTAGTAGTAATGGTAGTGGTAGAAACACACATTTTACGCAGGCGAGGGGCTAGAAACACACCTTCATTTTCTGTAGCAGCATCTTGACCGTCCAAGGTCGCTTCTGCTGACCTCCTCCGAACTCAAAGTTGACCGGGAGGTTCAGCAGGGCGGAGAAAGAAGTTGACAGCGCGCCATACTTCTTGCCCCGCGCCTGCTCGACGCCTGCGCGGCAGACCAGCAAGCTGCACGCAAGGTTCACCACCTGGTGTGCCGGGGTGTTTAGGCGAAGGTCTCCGCTAGGCACCATTGCTACAAAAAGCAGGGTGAGCGAAAAGCGAAGCAACCAGCTTGAGCAAGACAAACAGCTGCCAAACCACCACGGTGCCCAGCAGCAACCGCAGCAGCAACAACAACGACAACGAAAGACCAGTCACCACAGTCACCATATGTGTTATTTGTTTTGGTTTTTCCCCCCAGCTTGCGCAAGACACGCTGTATGTACCGCAGAAACATATGTTGCGTGCTCCACAACACATAATGTGTGCACCAGAACACATGAGGTATGTGTTTTCACGCTGCGCTTTTGCGGGCACCACAACTCATGTTGTGAGGACAACAGCATATGTTGTGAGTACTGCAGCACATGTTGGGTGCACCGCAGTACATGATCTGCAAGCCAGTCTCGGCCACGTCACCCGAGGTCCAGAAGGACAGGACCCCTGGGTATGCTGAGCCGGCTGTAGCCACCAGGGTGGGCGGCAACTCTCTTCTTCGAGAGCTTCACCTCAAACGGTCATTTTGTAGAAAAAACGGCTATCGGCTCTACAAGATGGCGCCTCCGAAAAGTTTCTACAAAATGATCCCTAAAAACAAATAAAAGGACCGGATAACCCCACATGATAAGTTTTACAAATTTCAATTGTATATGAACATCACATGGGAGACGGAGTAGTGAGATGAAAAGTCAAGAACGAAGTGTGAGGAGAGAAGGTATATGAGGCGGTTGTGCTAAGACGTGTAGTATAAGTGATGATGTGATGGACGAGGATGAGAAGGAGGGGAGGGAGGAGGTGTGTATGAGTGAGTGAGTGAGTGGAGTGAGTGAGTGGAGTGAGTAAGTGGAGTGAGTGAGTGAGTGGAGTGGAGTGGAGTGGAGTGGAGTGGAGTGGAGTGGAGTGGAGTGGAGTGGAGTGGAGTGGAGTGGAGTGAGGTGAGGTGAGGTGAGGTGAGGTGAGGTGAGGTGAGGTGAGGTGAGGTGAGGTGAG